CTGAAAAAAAAAATGAAAATGTATAAATATGAGTTATTTCGTTTGATGAAGTTTTAAGATTTCCGAAATATCAATTTTGGTCATTAATCACAAACCTACTTTAACAGTAAATACCTAATTGCCGAATTATTAATAGTAGTAACGATTTCGCATGCTCAGCAGTTAAAAAGTGTTTGCGGAACAAAAAGAACTGAATTATTGGTTCTATCCTGAGGTCGCGACGAAATTATTGGTTCTCAACCGCTTGGTATATAATGAAGGTTACGCGCCTGTAGGGCTGCCATCCGTCCGGTTTTCCCCGGATTTGTCCGGAGAACGTCCGGGCGGAGTTTCAAAAGTGTCCGGGTGAAACTTGATTAATTGAATGATAAGCAATAAATTGGCGCGTTCAGCTAAAATACCCGACTTTCGAATGCCCACTAGTTTTATTTTGGTCGATTTTGCCAAACATTGCTAAATAGATCGCAAAGAAGCTGTTTAAATTATTAAAAAAATGAAAAATAAACCTATTCAAGGATGTTCGAGGAAGAAAGTGAATTTTACACAAATGCAAAATTTAGAATTGATAATGAATCGAGCATGCGCTCAAAGTATGAATTAGTAGTTCTAAATCAGTTCAGGATTCGTTTGCCAACGAAGCTACTATGCAAATTATTTGAAACTGTGTCATAAAAACTATGAAAAATCTAGTGCCAATGATAGAAGCATGTTGTACGCATATCTGACTAAAAATTTTTGATGGAATATGTTTATTTTTTACGAAGGTAGTGCAATCCATTTTCAATGTCAGAGTTTATAGTAGAATAACGGCTTTGGTTACGATGCCATTAACTAAAATTTGTTCAGTTTAAAAACACAAATAATATTTGCAATCATTAACCTTTGAAGTAATATACCGAGGATTAAAGCAGTTATCGTATAAGAGTAAAAATACCTATATAAATTGCGTAGATATATAAAATCACGGAATAAATATACCACTTAATCTCAAATTATTGTCATCTATAAAGTAATAACGTATTTTTATAACGGTAAAAATTAAGTATCAAATATTTCGTAATTTCGCCACTTTTAATAAACATACTTAAATACGTGCATGTATCCATTGTGGAAATGTATGCACCTAAAATATGTTTTTTCTACACCCGTATTATAATAATGCACTTATATGCCCATAATCCGTTTCATAATGATACCCATTATGATACAGATTTTTCATTACGATACAGATTTTTAATCAATAGAAACCTACAATTTTTCAATCAAGCATGCTGTTTGACGTTTGTCCTAGGTTCCTATGTAATTATTTTAGTTGTCAAAACGTATTAAATTTTCGTAGGTAGCTAAACTTCGATAATTATAATATTAAAATGTCTGATATTAGCGATATAGAAGACTCCTCCACACATATCGGAGAAAGCAGAAAATACAGTACAAAATATTTTACCGCAAAAATCTAGGGAAATACCAATACCTGAAGTAATACCATTAATTACAATTTTGTAGATTTTTTTATAGAAATACGAGTAATTACTGTTATTGTGTTCAATACCAATATAAATATAATATTTATAGGTCTTGATTATTTATCGGGTGTAGAAAAAATAGCGTATGCAACTCTCATGTAATGGTTATTAAAACACTCGCATAAACCATACGAAACTCGCCTTTGGCTCGTTTCGTATCCCGGTTAATGCTCGTGTATTAATAACCATCATTACATGATCGTTGCATAATATACTATTATACAATAGCAAGGCAACGTAGATTGATTTTGATGAAGCTTGCAGGTGGTCATACAGCTGACCATCGGATGTGTATAGGAGGGTTTATATTTTTCATTAGAATACCGGACATCTAAAGTTCCTACAGAAAGGATTTCCGGTAAATTCGGAAGAATTTTGTAAAAAATTATGTTGGTTAGTTTTATTCAATATTGCTAGGTACTGAATGGCCACTATTTAATAAAGACTTTAAACATTTCTAAAATAAACATTTTTTAAAATGTCACTACATCTTTTGAGATTGTTAATAAATTGTCCACCCAGACAATAGGGAATTTATTGTTTTATTAAATTCTTATACTTAAACAAGAGGAAATTTAATAAATTAATTATATTACAGGAGTTTTAATAAATTTGGATTAAGAAAACAGAAATGTTAAAAAATTTTTACTTTGATACCATGTATACGAGTAGATAAAATAAATTTTAATAAATTCCGGGGTACAGATTCTGAGAATTTTATTAAATTTCGAAAAATTTAACGGGATTTTTAATGTATATGTTAGGGTGGGGCGAAAAACGTCAAATTAATATTTTTGATTCGCTATTCCACGGAAACGTTAGTACTAGTATTGAGTATCCTGCAAAAAAATATCACTGATTTTAAAGCATATTTTCCGATCTCGAAAACCGTCTGAATATTTGCAAAAATTGTAAATTTATTATTTTTTTTTTGTAATTCTGCCCAATCGATCTACTAAATGATCCTGGATCAGTTGTTCCCCTAAATATTGAAACGGATGGCGGTAAGGTTCTTAAATTATAGAATACTGTTAATCTTTTTTTGTTCCGACGAAACTGTTTTTTTCCATAATTCGGTATCGTTACCATGGAACACACCCTCAATGATGGGGACGGCACCCCCATTAAAGAAAAGTAAAATGGCGGGCATCGACATCGCCCAATTGAATGTCCATCATGCCAAGGGAGCTTCGGCTGTGATCTCCACGACATTAACTAAAGATCAATTAGGGATCGTATTGATCCAGGAACCGTGGGTCTACGGGAACCAGGTAAGAGGACTGGCATGTAAGGATGCAAGGATTATTTATCACATTAGTGATGAAGTACCCAGAACATGCATAATGGTAAGAAATAATATTAAATATACTTGTCTTTCAGAATTCATGACGCGTGATCTCGTCCCAATTCGAGCATACCTGGAATTAGGGATGAGGCGGCAGGCCACAGTAATAGCTTCTAGTTACTTCTAGTTATTGTGCAAAATATTGGGAATACTTCATTTGTAACAAGGGCAAGAAGTGAAGTATTGGATATCACATTAAGCACACTGAGCATTAAAGATCTAGTTACAAACTGGAGAGTATCGAGTGAACCATCTCTATCTGATTACAAGATAATTGTGTTTACTTTAGAGAGCGACATTCCAAGAGGAATCCTAGAAAAACAGACTGGGACAAATACAACACCATTCTAAAACAAAATTTAGCGCGTATCCAGACAAAAAAAGGGACCCAGACACCCACTTGCTCTGGAAAGCGATCTCGAAGAACTAAATGGGGCAATACTTGAGGCATATGAATCAAGCTGCCCCATTCAAAGAAATAAAACTAGTAGGCGAAAATTCACTCCATCGAGAAGTGTATCCATCGAGAGAAACTATTATAGACAAGAGATTATCATCATGTCCGATAGCCAAGCAGCCATGAAAGCGCTGAACTCTTACGTAATCAGCTCATAAATGGTCGTGAGATGCTTAGAACAATTGAATGAGCTAGGCGAGAAAAATAGAGTTACTCTCACTTGGGTCCAGGGACATAACGGGGTACAGGGTAACGAGATTTCAGATAGTCTTGCAAGGAAAGGGGCTCAAACACTCTTTGTAGGACCTGAGCCGTTTTGCGGTATCAGCAGTAACATAATATTAGAACAGACTAAAAAAGAATTGGACAGTAGAAGAACCGATAATTGGAACAATCTCTTGGAGATGAGACAGGCTAAGATACTTCTGGGTGAATATAATCAGAAAAGATCGGAAGCCTGCATCTACCTGGCTTGTAACAGGAATCCTTACCGGGCATTGGCGACTAAAAGGACACCTTACTAAACTGATAGTAGTAGAGGATAGTGAGTGCAGCTCCTGTAAGGAGGAGGACGAAACCTCAATTCACATTCTAACTGAATGTGTAGCACTCCAGAATCTAAGGGCACTATACCTAGGAGGATATCAAATAGAAGAGGGAGATTTACCTAACTTCAAGCCACTCCAAATCCTAAACTTTCTTGAGAAGATAGGATTGGAAGGGTCGTTATAGGCATTGAGACATTTCCTTGGTGCATTAGCGACAGAAGGGAGCACAATAATCTTTTAGGTCGCAGTGTATTACCACCCCATTCCCAACATAACATAGTTACCATCCAAATAAATAGCTCATACGTTATTTGAATCCTGCTTACTTTCTGCATGTAAATTACTCCTATTATTCTTACTCAGGATATTTATTCGTATTGGATTTTTAGTTTTCTTTTAGATTACAGTAGATAATATTAATAAATTCCTATTCAATGCTAGAGATTATATAAAGTTTGCTTAGAGCACAGGAGTTTTAATAAATGATAATTTAGACAATGGGAATTTTAATAAATACCCACTAGGACTATATGAATTGAAAAAGTGCCTTATTTATCGAATCTGAACGTTATCTAGAATGTAATAAAATATTTAATGAAATTCGGGTATTTCAACAAATTGCAATTTAAACCTGAGTTCTTTAATACATTCTAATATATTTTATACTATTAGTGAACAAAATGATTACTATAACAAGTAAAAAGTAATATTGGTATAAAATTAGTTGAAATCAATACAGTGAAGACGTAAATGGAAGAAGGTAAAGACATGAAAACAAAAACAAAGTGAAATTAGTGAAATATTATATTTTTGTTATAACTAGATTCACTTTACTTGACACGTAAGATAGAAGGAGTTATTCTCTTTAAATTTTCTAATGAAAAGTAGGGCAATGCGATACCTAATTTGAATGATATTTCCATTACCTTTACAGATTTCGGTATTTTTATGTTTTTACAGAAATTACATTATATAAATGAATGAAGTAAGTTACATTCTTGATAAACCTCGTATTTACTATTATTTTGAACGTTTAATACGTTAAGTGGTTTTTGATATTCCTAATTTACTTATATCTAGTAAATATTGTTTCTTTAATTTGTAAAAAGCGTTTCCTTAGTAAT